TCTGAGGCCGTCAAGCAGATGTGCTACTGAACGCCGGATCTCATTGTTGCAGCACACAAACCTCTGTAGGAGTCGGGCCTCTTTCATCTGAACATGACATCATAAGAACAGCTCTCGAAGCACCTGACGGGACGATCATCAGACACATGGACTGATAGTGTGGAGAGAGACAGCTGGTATTCTGCTCTCAGAGGAACCTTCTGCTAGACGCACATCAAGTGGCTTCCCATGGGTTTAGTGACTTTTCCTGCCCTCTTTTGATTTTTATCAGATGTTCTAACGCTAATGACGCTAAGGATAGTGAGTCACATCACATCACTTATTGTGTTTAAAAGACAGAAGCTGCAGAGCAAATGGATTGGTGCAGTGAAATCTTGAGGGACAGACAAACTGATCTTTATCTTGTGTATCCCTTTAAAAGATGGAAGAAATTAAAATATTTTGTTACTGCTCACATCGTTACGTTGCAATTATACTCTGACGGCACACACCATCTCAGCTGTGATGGTGGCATGAAAAAGCTTGGTAAGAGATCTGTCTGGAGTTTTGACAGCTTGCATTCTGCATTTGTGCCTGATTAAGCAGTTCAACAACACTAGAATGTCAATGAACAGTACCAGTACGAACTATGAGACTCAACCTCGCTCAATTACGTCTTCAGCAGTGTCTGTGAGATGAAAGTTAAACAGAGGGATTCTGCAGCCCTGCTTCATTAACAGATACGCTGGAGGAAGTCGTGCAGGGAAGAGTTCATGCTGTACCTCTATACTGCAGCATATTCAGGACACTTGAAAAAGGAGAAAACCTTCAACGGAATCATTAAAAAAACTACTTTCAGTTATATAAGTCTCCAAAGGAGCTGAGAATCATACTGGCATGACACCTTCAACCAAATTCACAATTTTGTACAGTAATAGTATTACAATAAATGCCTGAATGTGTGAGTGTAAATGTCCTTCACTGAGTTTCAGACAAGGTCTGTCTGGTTTGTGGCTGCAGGGCAAAGGTCATTGCCTTCTCAACTGGAAAACCACAGCAAAAAAGTCCCGAGGCTGTATTTCAGTACAAGCTCAAATGTTATACAGCTCATAGACTCAAACCTGCATCTCCCACGCAAGCACCATAGTCTAAAAAAAAGAGCTGTCTATATTTCAAATTTGTTTTATTAAATATTTTGTATATTTTGCAAGTGTACTTTCTCAATTTCACTTAAAATCTTTATTTAGAAGGCAGCTGCCAATGTAGACCGTAGACAGCAAGGCAGCTCACTATAGGTTTTGGGACAGAGCCATCATCAAACTATGTTTGAGCTAACAAAACAAATGTGACTGTTTATCCGGTTCAAATTTAAATCTCAGTAAACCTGAACTAAATGAACTAGACTTGGAAACTGCTCCAGCCCACCCCAAGTCGGGGATGAATAGGAACCCTCAAAAGTGATTACCCCCGAAATGATTGTTGCTCAGAAAACCCTCTTCTTTTTTCCTTGAATTGATAAATGATTATATTGTCTGCTCGGTGGACGGACAGATCAAATAATTGTAATATTGATTCTGCTACAGTTAATTCGAAGATATAATCTAAATATTTATTATTAATCATAACCAGTTATAATTAGTCATAAATATTTCCCTGTTGAGCTGATTTACTACACACAATATGAAAATTTGAAACCCTCTGTTTTGATTGATAAAGTTTATTTATTTGTCAGTATTCAGTCAGAGTGTGAAATCCTTAATTTCATGTGTTTACAGACGTTGACTTTTATAAATGAGGAGAGAATAAAACACCAGCCAACAGAAGTGAGTCATTTAGTCAAGACTCAGTTCCACTGACAGACTTTATCCTCATATTTAATGTGCAACTCATATTTAATGTCTAATTATGCTTTTAAAGCAATGGTTTTGAGATGTATGTGACGTATAATAACTGAAGCCTCACTCTCCCATCGTATTCATAACCAGAGGGCAGAATGTCACCTCTCCCATCTGTGGAAAATAAGAAAACTCAACATCAGCTGCATCGACCTCTAATAGGCTCATGTTATTGGCTGAATAACTGCATATGAAGGGCTGTGTGCAGCATCATTTAATCTGAGAGGCTGAAATGAGTTGAGAAATTAACCCTGGTTGAGTGACTGTGACATATAAACCTCATCGCTGGTGGGGGCAAATCTACTAACAATCCGCTGCTACAGTATCTGACATTAAAATGAGCCAGTATAGAGAGAGAGATAGTAGGTCCTGAGCCCCAGAAAGCCAAATGATAAACTTATACAATAGCAAACAGAGTCTGCCGTCCACTAATCAATTCTTTGCAGGTAGTCGGTGCGAGTGACGAGATACAAATGTGATTTGCACTTTGCCACCAGCTCGAGTTATTAGAGCACAGACAGACCTTTTAATATATGACAGAATAAGCGCTGGATGAGGACTCATTTAATGCATTCACAATAAATGTGTCAATCAATATGTCAGGTGAGCATAAGCCCCGCCCACTCTGACGCTCTCTACACTGGAAAACAATTAGCAGTGTGCTATTTAAATCTATATGGCAATGATTCACATGAGACAGAAGCAGAGAAACAGTATGAATAGAAAAATGGCGTCTTAATTAAAACATAAAGATGAGCAGAAGCTCCAGAGAGCTGCGACACAAAAGGGTGAAAGAGCCTGCGGTGGAATTCAAAACGCGTGATGGCTAATCTCTGTCTTTTACTCTTTCTCTGTTTCTTTTTCTTTCTCTTATTCATACGCACACTTAGTCTCTATCTCCACACACACACACACACACACACACACTTGTGTTTAATGCTTATTTGGACTGTTTTAATGTTCAACTGACATCCTAAGTTAGCATCAACACACTCTCGCTTCTGTCAAATTGATAGCTAATTCATTGAATTTGTACAATCTCATTAGCACATTTTCATACAATCCACTTATGCCCCAGTGACGGTTAGGTTTAGGTGTGGGGTTAGGGGTGGAACTTCATGCTTACATTTCTGAATGAATCATATACAAATTCATAACAAAAAAAAAAAAAAACACTTCATAAAATTGTTACATTTTCTCATAAGATCAGGTTGGTTAGCGTACATGCATTTGCAGTGTGTGAGAATTTGTTGCAACACATTGTGTATTGAGATTTCAAACACTTAAATGAAATAGAACCATAACTGCTTAAGTTTTTTCTATGTTACATATTTTTAAAGCACATTAAATGCTGATTAAAACACTAGATTTCAACTTTACAGTGTGCTGTACACATACATAAACGTGAATTCAGTGGGGACGTTAATGTACTGCAGGACAGTATTGGACATATTTCAGGCTTCTCCCTGTAAACAGCATCACTAGTCAATATTATAGTTCCAGCCTCCACTACAGCCTCTTTTCAATTATTCTTGATCATAAAACAGGGGTTTATATGCTGAGAACAGTCTGATCTGGGATGCCCTCATGAATTCCAGCTCTAAAAATATCAAATATGCACGCTATTGCTGTTTCTCAAATAATATCATGATTGCATGCTCCCTGTGAGAGTGTTTTACTGTATAAGGTTCAGAGTGAGTTCAGACTGGAGCTGCATTATCTGTGCAGAAATGAGAGATGAGGGGATTGTTTTCCTTTATTTTCTTCTCCCTAAAAATAAGTCAAAAAGTGAAAACAAATGAAAAGAAAAGAGGAAAGAACTACAGACATGCTGTTTTGTCCCGCACATTGGGCTTTTTAATCAAAGCAACGGCACCTAGAACACAATGCAGAGCTGCGATTCAGCAGCACATGAGGAAGACTATTCAAGAGATGAATGCAGAACAATACTGGAGAGCGCAGAACATCTCCAACATGCTCATAAATAATCCACCATAACAAAAGACACTAAAATCCAAGGTTCTCAGCAACATAAGAGCTGCGAACAAAAGCTGGTGGAAATTGAGCACATGCAATGAATAATTCCAACATTACCTTTACAATTCATGATGATGATGCATTTGTGGGCTTTAAGACCCTTACGGAACATTATTTCATTGCCAAAAGAAGAAAAAAAAGCTGCTTGTTTGATCTGTGTCTAATAGTCTGCAAAGATACAAAAAATAAACAAGTAGTAAATGTCGAATTTCTTGGTTTTGTGAAACTGTTATCAACATTTAACAGGTAATATTGAGCAATCAGAGTATCTATAGCACTCAAATGAACTGTGAAAGGATTGTTGTTTTCTGCTTAGTTGAATCTTGGCACAAAAAGAAATGCTCAAGATCTTGTGTATGTGAAAATCATTGAAGAATTGCCCTCAATTTAAGGCATTCACATCTGAATAGCATGAAAACCATCAAAACTCTCTCTATATAGTGTATGAGTATGTGTGTATGAGACACATCTTTTGTGTCACATCACATCAGTTCAAAGTGATGGATGATTCAATGCATGAAATGAACTGAATACTATAGCGCTCACTTCTGTGCAACAACTCACCATGTTCCACTTTGGAAAGAGGAAATCAGCCCCGATGTACTCGAAGTAATGCGCAAATCCCTCCTTCAACCAAACGTCCTCCCACCAAACTGGTGTGACTAGATCCCCAAACCACTAGAAGAGGAGAAATGAACAATCACTCATCCAAAGAGAAAAAACAGAGCGACCATATACAAAGATAGATTTTATGTTCACTGGCGAAGAATAACAACAATTTTTTGTTGTTTTGTACGAAAAGTGTTTATGGGTATTCTGAAACCAAACTTTATTTGGACAAAACTTAAAGTTTTATCCACACTTGTATTCATCCAATATCTGCAAAAGCATATTGCATCTAGTGGCAAACACATTTTATTAGAAAAGTCCAATACAGCATACAAAATAGCTTGTGCTCTTCAGAAGTAGAAGTGCAAATAAACACTCTGGTTTAACAGAAAAGTTGTTCACAAAAGGCTTCACAGAACATTGAGAACCCGGCAGAGCTTCTGAACTATGATTAACAGTGGCCTAAACATTCAATTACCTACAGTTACACAATTAAAACACATTTTTCAGTTTCACAGCATTCATACCTAGGAGTTTCGCCAAGGACACAGTAAATGAACAGAATAGAGAAAAATAAGGATTCGATTATGAAACATCCCATCTGGAAGGTAGAAAGAATCCAAATGACCCCTGCCATTGTGTGCAGATGACAGTGTGCAAAACAGGGCTATTGAATGGAAAAGATGCAACATTGCAGTTCTAAATGGGCTGAACATTTTCCAGAGTCTGAGGCCGTCAAGCAGATGTGCTACTGAACGCCGGATCTCATTGTTGCAGCACACAAACCTCTGTAGGAGTCGGGCCTCTTTCATCTGAACATGACATCATAAGAACAGCTCTCGAAGCACCTGACGGGACGATCATCAGACACACGGACTGATAGTGTGGAGAGAGACAGCTGGTATTCTGCTCTCAGAGGAGCCTTCTGCTAGGCGCACATCAAGTGGCTTCCCATGGGTTTAGTGACTTTTTCTGCCCTCTTCTGATTTGTCAGATGTTCTGACGCTAATGACAGTGAACCAGGATAGTGAGTCACATCACATCACTTATTGTGTTTAAAAAGACAAGCTGCAGAGCAAATGGATTGGTGCAGTGACATCTTGAGGAATGGCACAGACAGTTCAACAACACTAGAACGTGTATGATTGGTACAAACTATGAGACTCAACCTCGCACAATTATGTCTTCAACATCGTGTCAGTGAGACGAAGTTAAACAGAGGGATTCTGCAGATTCGTGCAGGGAAGAGTTCATGCTGTACCTCTATACTGCAGCATATTCAGGACACTTGAAAAAGGAGAAAGCCTTCAACGGCATCAATTAAAAAAACAACTTTCAGTTATATAAGTCTCCGAAGGAGCTGAGAATCATACTGGCATGGAGTCTTCAACCAAACTCACAATTTTGTACAGTAATAGTATTATATGCTTGAATGTGTGTGTGTAAATGTCCTTCGCTGATATTTAATATGTAGTTTCAGTTAAGGTCTGTCTGGTTTGTGACTACAGGGCAAAGGTCATTGCCTTCTCAACTGGAAAACCACTGGAAAAAAGTCCTGAGGCTGTATTTCAGTACAAGCTCAAATGTTATACATAGACTCAAACCTGCATCTCCCACGCAAGCACCATGGTCTAAATCCCTTACAAAAACAACTAAAATTGTAAACTGCTCCAATCACAATAAGGAAACGTAAAACCCTCTGTTTTGATTGACAAAGTTTATTTATTTGTCAGTATTCAGTCAGAGTGTGAAATCCTTAATTTCATGTGTTTACAGACGTTGACTTTTATAAATGAGGAGAGAATAAAACACCAGCCAACAGAAGTGAGTCATTTAGTCAAGACTCAGTTCCACTGACAGACTTTATCCTCATATTTAATGTGCAACTCATATTTAATGTCTAATTATGCTTTTAAAGCAATGGTTTTGAGATGTATGTGACGTATAATAACTGAAGCCTCACTCTCCCATCGTATTCATAACCAGAGGGCAGAATGTCACCTCTCCCATCTGTGGAAAATAAGAAAACTCAACATCAGCTGCATCGACCTCTAATAGGCTCATGTTATTGGCTGAATAACTGCATATGAAGGGCTGTGTGCAGCATCATTTAATCTGAGAGGCTGAAATGAGTTGAGAAATTAACCCTGGTTGAGTGACTGTGACATATAAACCTCATCGCTGGTGGGGGCAAATCTACTAACAATCCGCTGCTACAGTATCTGACATTAAAATGAGCCAGTATAGAGAGAGAGATAGTAGGTCCTGAGCCCCAGAAAGCCAAATGATAAACTTATACAATAGCAAACAGAGTCTGCCGTCCACTAATCAATTCTTTGCAGGTAGTCGGTGCGAGTGACGAGATACAAATGTGATTTGCACTTTGCCACCAGCTCGAGTTATTAGAGCACAGACAGACCTTTTAATATATGACAGAATAAGCGCTGGATGAGGACTCATTTAATGCATTCACAATAAATGTGTCAATCAATATGTCAGGTGAGCATAAGCCCCGCCCACTCTGACGCTCTCTACACTGGAAAACAATTAGCAGTGTGCTATTTAAATCTATTTAAATCTATATGACAATGATTCCCATGAGACAGAAGCATAGAAACAATTAAATTAAATCTTAATTAAAAACATAAAGATGAGCAGAAGCTCCAGAGAGCTGCGACACAAAAGGGTGAAAGAGCCTGCGGTGGAATTCAAAACGCGTGACGGCTAATCTCTGTCTTTTACTTTCTATCTTTCTTTGTCTTTTTCTCATTTATACTGTAAATAAGCACACTTACTGTACTCTCACACGCATACACGTGTTTAAAGCTAATTTGGGCTGACTACATGATTTCAATGTTTAATCTGACATCTTAAGTCAGCATTAACACACTCTCTTGGCAGTTTGTAACTATTTTAAGTTTTGGCGAATTGGTGGCTGATTTGTACGAATTTGTATGATCTCATGTCTTATTGACGGTTAGGTTTAGGGGTGGACCTTCATGCTTACTTTTTTTTTTTTCGAACAATCAGATGTTTCCATATGAATCATGTTATACAAATCTACAAATCTAAAATTGTCTACACTGTAAACTGCATACTGTTTTTATGAAATAGTATACAATACAGTACAAAACATAAATGTAGAAATAAACAAAGTACAGTAAATTGTAGTCAAAAGGCTATTATAATAGTGCTAATTACATAATAGTACTACAAACGTATTAGTGTTTGAATATAATAATTACAAACTAACTGCCAATATCATTTTTGAAGCACAAACACTAGATTTCAACTTTACAGTGTGCTGTACACATACATAATCGTGAATTCAGTGGGGACGTTAATGTACTGCAGGACAGTATTGGACATATTTCAGGCTTCTGCCTGTAAACAACAACACTAGTCAATATTATAGTTCCAGCCTCCACTACAGCTTCTTTTCAATTATTCTTGATCATAAAACAGGGGTTTATATGCTGAGAACAGTCTGATCTGGGATGCCTCATGAATTCCAGCTCTAAAAATATCAAATATGCACGCTATTGCTGTTTCTCAAATAGTATCCTGATTGCATGCTCCCTGTGAGAGTGTTTTACTGTATAAGGTTCAGAGTGAGTTCAGAAGGAGCTGCATTATCTGTGCAGAAATTAGAGATGAGGGGATTGTTTTCCTTTATTTTCTTCTCCCTAAAAATAAGTCAAAAAGTGAAAACAAATGAAAAGAAAAGAGGAAAGAACTACAGACATGCTGTTTTGTCCCGCACATTGGGCTTTTTAATCAAAGCAACGGCACCTAGAACACAATGCAGAGCTGCGATTCAGCAGCACATGAGGAAGACTATTCAAGAGATGAATGCAGAACAATACTGGAGAGCGCAGAACATCTCCAACATGCTCATAAATAATCCACCATAACAAAAGACACTAAAATCCAAGGTTCTCAGCAACATAAGAGCTGCAACCAAAAGCCGGAAAAAGAGCACATGCAATGAATAATTCCACCATTTCCTTTAAAATTCATGATGATGATGCATTTGTGGGCTTAACGTCCTTTACTGAACATCATTTCATGCCAAAAGAAAAAAAAAACTGCTTGTTTGATCTGCATCTAATAATCTGCAATGATGCAAAAACAAAAAAACAAACAAAAAAGGTTATTTAACACAAGAAAGACATGTGAAACATGTGAAATGAGAGAAAAGAAAGAGCGAAACAGAGTGAGAAAGTAAGGGGATAAAGGAAAGAAAGCTTTACTATCACAATCCCAATGGATCTTTTTATATGAGCTGTGCATCAAATTCTCCAGATGACCAATTACATCTGCCGTTGTTCTGCTCTTTAACTCAACAACTGACCATCTTCACACTCTCTGTTGCTCTCTGACTCCTGGAGATGTTCTCTTTCTGCCTTTCACTGAATTCTGCACTGGCTTCTTTAGATGATGAAGACAGATCTGATAGGTGATACATTTTATATAATTATGATTCTACAGCAGCTTTATGTTTCTCAGAGGACTCTAAACAGCATTGACGGGACATGCGGAGTCAAAATAGGAGTGCTTGTAATGTGTGTGATGGTTAAAAAGGAAAAGCACCATGTTTTAAAAGAGAAATCTTCTGAATCATGGTCTGAATCTGGATAAGACGCCTCAAACAGAATGGGAAATTTTCAGGGCCTGATTGAAGTCTTGCATCTTAAATGGACGTGCAGTACTTCAATGGTCATGAAATGAACAACACAAGATGTCAGAAAAGTGATTCACTGATATAATTGGACTAAATTAGTCCAATTTGATTTATTATTAACACATCTGATATTTACACTGCTGCTATATGAATAAATCTGAAGTTCTGTCATCTTCAAAACAGCAAGATGAAATTTTACTGGGACCGTAAACAATGTGAAACTACAGAGCAGCTCACATGCTCATGTATACTCCAGTAAATGTGTTTTACCTGATGGCAGATCTCGTGCACCACCACCATGGTGAGCTCCATCTGATAGGAGAAGGAGGAGACGTCAGGATCCAACAAGATCTTCTGCTCCACAAACACACTCAGGCCCCAGTTCTCCATGGCTGCATACGGATGCTTTGGCACTGCCAGGAGATCTGCACACAGTGAGGAAGATTCAAGCTCAATGACGGGAAACCAGGATTGTGATACAAT